AAAATTTGAGCAAACCAATATGAGCCAAGCTAATAAAAATAAATAAACCTTTAACCGGACTAAATTCAACTAATAGGGCGAATCATATTCCATTTGTTGATTTTACCACTTCTACTTCGGCTACAATTTTTATCGTTGACATATAGATAATTAGATTCATTTAATTCAAGTTGTAACTAATGGGACTAGCAAAATGCTCAAATAGTAGTTTCTTAGGTGTCGATCACCTTGCATGCATCTCAACTAGTCTCAATCATTCCATAATATGGAGTATCGCTTAACTCTGTCTATCAAGACTAGCTCAGATGGTAACCTCAACTAATTTAAAAAATAATTTTCCTCTTATTTATATATGGATAAAGTATATTTACTAGTATTATCCTATGTTGATTGGACTTTCTCTTGGAAGCACAATTATTATCTCCAACGTCACTTAATAATAGATGCTGAATATTTTCCAAAATGTAGATAAAAATATATTTTAAGTTTATAACTATTATTAGCTTTGTGGACTTAGGATTCTACTTAATCCAATTACCTTCATTCCACTATTTTTTTTTAATCTCTAGGAGTTCAATTATTATAGTGATCAATCACATCAACCATCCTCTAAAGATGATTTAAAATGGACATAAGTCTTGTTTTCCATCTCGTGAAGAAAAGGTAAAAGTACAAAACCAATTATTATACACTAAAAATTCCTACAAATTCAACGAAGTCCTTATTAAGAAATATATTATTAGGTGATGACTAGTTACATTATTCAAAATTATATATTTTAAGTATAGTGTGAGACTTTGCTTTAAGATGTATTATTGCTTTAGAGTACTCCTATTTGGCGCATGAAAAGAAGTGAGACTTTGGATCAAGACTGAATTATAATATAAGTGTATTTAGGCATATCTTTTTGGAGTAAGAAGACAATATTTTTTTCCATAAAAGTAGATGAAAAGTTGCTCAAGCAAACTTAAAGGTGATAACTAAATTTCAATGTCAAATGCTAAAAGAAGTCCACAGTTGAGATTTTAAGTTATATAGTAATATACACTGACAATATAAATTTATTTATACTAATAATGTAGTTTAATATGTGATAGAAAATTAGTTTAATTGTATTTGACTAGACAAAAGAATTATGAAAGAAGCCTATGAAACTTGTGGGGTAAAACAAACCATACAATTTATTTTAGTTGTAATTCATTATATATTAAAGGTAAAACAGAATGTTTAAAGTTAAATTATTGCTAACTATTAAAAAAGAAGAAGAAGATATATCCATCTTCCCAAATTATTTGTCATGTTTGTCTTCAAAGAGTCAATTTAACTCATTTTAAAGCTAAATTGTATTAGAGCAACTTAATATTTTATATTTGAAGTTTAGATATATAAAAAGTGTAGGATGAATAATATAAGTTTACATATTATAACTTTCGAAAAGCAAAATATAACTACTAACATTCTACTATATTATAAAAGAGAGTTTAGGGCCAAGTATAATATATAATATTCAAGATTGGGAAAAGTCCCAATCTTGAATATTATATATTATACTTGTGGGGACTTTTTAAAAATTCTATTTTTATACCCCAACTATAATATATAATATTCAAGATTGAGACTTTTTTGTAATATTATATATTATATTTATTATATAGTAGATCTACTATATTTATTATATAATATTCAAGATTGGGGACTTTCTTGAATATTATATATTATATTTACTATATAGTAGATATCTACTATATTATATGTTATATTTATTATATAGTAGAACTTGGGCATAAAACTCCCTTTTTAAAATAATATAGAATATGTATATATATATATATATATATATCACAAATGGAAAAGTCTCAATCAAGGAAGCAACATATATCATTTACAAATGACTTAAAAAGCTTTAAAATATTTAAAAGCTATATAATAAAATAGGTTGACTCTCAGAATTATATGAGGCTCACATATATTGGGACAGAAAAAATAACACATATCATTTTAAAATTACCAAAAAAGTATTATAAATAATAATAATTAACAACTTAAAATATCTGAAAGACATTTTAAAAGGGTTAATTTTGTAATTTTATCCATATCACATAAATTAGGACAAAGTGACCAGTAATGTACATTATTTCAAAGTTACATAAAAATATTATAAATCACAATAATTAATAACTTAAAACATTTTTAAAAAAAATATGATCATTTGTGTCACATAAATTGAGACAACAAAAATAACATATATTGGGTCCATTTTAATTCATTTGTCTTATTTTTATATTTAAAAATTGCGTAAAAATACTATAAATCATGATAATTGACAACATAAAATATGTTTTGAAAAAAATACAAAAAATTCCATTGATTCTTGAAGTGAATATATCGTAAAATACTATAAATCATGATAATTGACAACATAAAATATTTCAAAAATGTTGTATGTGGGTAGTCTTATTATGCCTTAAATAGCGTCAAAGAAAGTACAGGTTTGTGATCAAAAAACTTATTCCTTTATCCACGCAAACAATCGCTTCAAAAATTCGGTTATTAGCCCCAAAATATATCATTTATATTATTGGGCCCGTGCATAGCACGGGCAACATTATCTAGTAATATAAGAAAGTATTCTTTTGAGATTGACTAAAAATAAAAACTATCACTTAATTGGGACACAAAGATATATAAGTAATAGCTATCATATAGATTAATTGCGTATAATTATCTTATAGTAAGTAGTTAGTAAGTTGAATGGGTAAAATGTACGTACTCTTGAAAAGATAGTCAAGAAAGTTTATGTATATAAACTACATATAAAGGTGGGCCAAGATCTTATGTGTATGCATAGACTTTGTTTTGTTAATAACATGTGGGAACAGAATCTAGGGCTTAATCTATATGTATTATAGCTTATATAATGCTTACTAATTTCTATAACTCACATCTAATACCAGGAATTAAGATCTCTTGATTATTTACAAAACTGAAAAGAAAAATATAATATCCTTTTATATGTAGACATAAAGATCCCTCATAAAAATAATCGTTAGAACTAAAAATAAAGATCGTAATTGATCTAAAAAGTCAATTCTCCACATTGATACTTTTTTTTTCTGTTTTCTTTCAACCTTGGGGGAATAGATAACGTTTCAACCATATTAATGTCAAAGGAAATAATCCTAATTTGAAAATAAAGGGTCTTTGTCCTTATTGCCTCATATTGAAATAAAGTAATGCTGGTCCATGGATAATTGTAGCATATTGTTATTTTAATTTCGTAGTTTGTATTTTGTTAGTATCCTAAACTTGATCAAATGATGGACACAGCTCACTGAATCCGTTAATCACGATTCAAAACCAAAGATAATTGCCATATTTATTAAAATAAATCCAACTTACTTACCTATTTTTTCAAACTTTTGCCAAACTTATGTACCAAGTATTTTTGTAGGTTTACTTTTTCATGTCGTAACTTTTAAAGTTGAATTAAGTCCAAAATTCATTTTCTTAACATGATATATTAGAGTCAAATTCAGAGGTGAACTCAGAATTTGAAGACTTCGAGTGCATTAATATCATCAGTCCTCTTGAAATTTAAAACTTATAATAGAAACAATAAAATGTGGTTTTGACTGGGCTCAAACCAAGGTCGCGAGGGGGGATGCACTGGCCAGAACCAAGTGTGATCCTATGCTTTTCATAGGCACTATTTATTATATTTAGTTTCTAATAGTTTCTCAAGAAAGATATACATGATTTTTTCTGAATTTTATACATGTGGATCCGCCTCTGGTCAGATCCATCTCAATTTATTATTTTCGATATATGTTGGACCTCATAGCAATTCTCAACTCTTGAACTATATTTTTGTCGAAAATTGAAGATTTCAAACGTCATTAAAATGAAGAAAAAAAACACGTTAAAATTTTTCACATTAAAAAGTAAAACGCTCTTTCGATCGAGTCAACATAGACAAAAAAAGATCAACGGAAGACCGACAAAATCATAGGGACGGCAGCATGACTGGACAACTAATTTAAGGTATTAGTAGAGTATTAATTCAGTCGAAAGGGTAACATGCATGCAGCAACAATTATGGTTGCACATGCTTTAAATTACAAATAATCCTAAATCTAAATCTAAGTCCTACAATAAATTTTATTTCATAGATGTTCCTCTTTATATATGTAGTAAAAAAATAAATTGATCAATCGAATAAGAATCAATTTGAATTTTCTAATTCGTATAATATTACCTACATATTTTTCTTCAATTCCAAGTCACATGATTGCCATGTGACGCTAATATATTCTATACTCACTCCGATCTGTATTATATGGTGCTTTTAGTTTTGGCACATCTCTTAGATGCACTCATACTGGGTATGGATTTTTTTGTTGGGAGCGTCATCCCCAAATAGGGTCTGTGTGCGCGATCCGGAGTTAGTCGAAGCTTCAATGTGGGATCTGGACATCGGGTAGGAAATAAAAAAAATATATATATATATTTAGACTACATTATTCTTTTTTAATTAAATATTACTTCCTCCGTTCCTTTTTAGTTATTATGATTTTCTTTTTTAGAGTCAAATAACTAATATTTTATGATGTATTTTTTCATCATATTGATATGCAAAACGTTACAATTTGTAGTACACATTGTATAGTTTTTAAATATCTAAATTTCTAGTTTAAAATATCAAATTAATGTAATTTAATTTAAATTTGAAAATTAGTCAAATTGACTTTCGAAAAATTCAACATGACAACTAAAAAGGAACGAAAGGGGTATACTACTTATTTAATATGATTAATTTCTTGATGATGTAAAAATTCATCACTTATCTAAAAACAGGTAAATTTAGGTGGATCAAATAATCTTCTTAATTATGTATAAATTTCTCTAGTTTAAATTAAATATAAAAATAAATAAAAATATCATATAATATATTATATGTACCGACAGAAATAATAATTAGCAAGTTAAAGTGAGACATTTTTGTAATTGGATGGGAATTCCAATAAATCCAATCCCCATGTTGCTTATTGTTGGAATTTAGTGCTACCAAGTAAACGGAAAAATAAAACATAACTTAAATTATGTACATGAAAAACACACATACAATAAAATTAAAAAAGAAAAAAAAACAGTACTTCTAATTAAGTTTAATCCTGTGCATACATGAAAAACACACATACAATAAAATTAAAAAAGAAAAAAAACAGTACTTCTAATTAAGTTTAATCCTGTGCATTATTGGAGGGTCCTATTGACTTACATATATCCAGTAGAAATTGAACCTCTGAATTCGTCATAACAATTCAACCAGATTCTCGTATATGATGAATTCTCTTAGCTTGATAACCATTGCTTCTGACCTGGAACCCATTTAGGACATTTCGGGCTAAAATAACTCGAAACAACTCTCGAATTCAATAACTCAATAATTGGAGCATAGTTAACACACCGTGGAGCTTTGTACTGATTAATGGAAGCACCATTGCTAATAGCATAATCCATAAGCTTATCAAATGTGCCATTCTCAACTACCTTAATTTCAAGGGGACCAATCGATTTATCCGAAACGCGACACTGTCGATAGACACTGTTTAACGATTCTTCAATCGTTAGACAACAATCTTCAAACACTGATGTCGGGATTAATGTTTCATCGGATTCATCATTGTTGATTTCCCAGTACAAAACGTAGTGTCCTGGATTTGTCGATGTGTCTGCATAACTTGTATATTCTGTTAATGATGTTTCAAATGGTACAAGATGAGTCGATGCTTTTAAAACGGCGTCGTGTAGCTCAACTTCATCCGTTTTGTCTGAATCAATGCTTAATGCAACATTCTTTCTACACACAAAATGAAATTGAGGAGCCTTGTTTTTAAATCCAGCAACTTTAAGTATGTCACCAACACGATAACGATACAATCCTGGAAAAAAAAACGTATAATCAGTGTATAACATATGTTTACTCGCTAAGATAAGTACGAAAACAGTAAATTTGGTTATAATTGCTACTCCCTTCGTCCCATTTTAAGTACGGAATTTAAGAAAGAAAGACAAACTTTTAAAATTTATGGTCCAAAATGAATGATAGAAATTTGTGTGGCTGTAAATTATTTCAATAAAAGAGACACTTTATAACTAAATTGTTACTTAATATAGAAATATATCAATCTTTTGGAGACTTACTAAAAAGATAAGTAAGTCACATAAATTGAGACAGAGGAAGTAGTATACTGTCACAACTTGACTTTTACTCCCTTGGCTTTATTTTATGTAACACGATTCAGAGTACGATGATCAAATTACTGAATAGAGAGTAAGTTTAATGTACCTGCATAAGTGGTGACCACGAGCTCGTACTCATGTCCAAGTTTGACATCAACAAGATCAACCAAATTATCTTTGTCATACTTGTTAGATTTTTCTGGCCCTTGATCATCACGAGCAACGGGCAAGAACTCGAAAAATCCCATGGTAGGTATGAGAGTATAAGCAACTTCACTAGGTTTACAAAGAGGATCAAGATTTATACCAAAGTAACACTCAGAAGAAGCGTACATGGTACAAACAAGTGGTAGATCATTACCATAGTATTTAAGAGTTGGAATATATTGTGACATAGTCCCAGTAACAATTACATCGACGTATTTTGTATTAGGCCATAATCTTGGAATAATCCCTTTCCATGACTCTTTACTACATTCCATTTCAATAAATTCAGCAAGGTCCGGATCCGGTTTGAGTATTTTCATCACGGATTCGCGTACCATAGGGTCATTTATTTGTGGATTCAACGTTCCAGTTTTTATATCCCGACAAAGTATAGGCCAGTGCTTTTCAAGGAAATGAATAGCACGAATAAAACCTGAAGCGAAAACCGCACCAACTCGTAAAACTTGAGTGTTTTGACAAAGACCACAAAGCATTTGGGAATACATACTTTGGTATGAATCTAAACAAAGAATTGTTTCATTTGGGCTTGTGTAATTTGTGTAGGGATCATATGGTCTTTTTTTGAAATATGAACTTTTATAGTAACTTGTTAAAACTGGACGAGCTAATAAACCACCTGGAGTTTTTGCTTCTGATTTTATAAATAAAAAGTACATTCCTTTGCCTTTTTGTAAATCTGGCACAAATTTATTCATTACTGGCATTAAAAGGCTGTACAATAATGACCTTCTTCCTAGCTCTTCTTCAATTGTTGGCATCAATTTCCTCTCTCCCCCAGACGTGCCAGAACTATAGATTAAAAAAAAAACAAGTACATAAATAAATACAGATATGCCCAAAAACAATTATTGCATAGAAAAAGATAACTTTCTTTATATCCACTATCAACTTGTAACACTTAATATAGAGACGAATCTAGAATTTCCAGTAACTGAGTTCAAAGCAATTGATTCAATTGAACTCATAAAACGAAAAACAAAAGTAATATTTGATGGAGTACATATATACTAACCTTGTTAGGAACTCGGAAATTGGTTGAGAACAAAGGATGGATGAACGATCACCATCCGCGATACGATCAATATCGGGTTTGAGATCTTCATAAGTAACAATAGGCATGATTTTTTTGAAATTTTCATAGTCATCATTGTTGTCATTTATAATAAGGCCATGCCTTTGTAAGTACTCAACACCAGAATTACGAGAAAGTATCTCATTAAGAACATTTTTTTGAACATCATTAGCATTACTAGTGATGTCTTCAAAGAATTGAAGAAGTTTTTTATTATTTTCATCAAAATTTCCATCATCTATTGAAGGAGCCTCTGGCATGTTTTTTTTTTAAAAAAAAATATTAAAAAGAAGAAAAATATTAGAGAGAGAAATGGAGAAAAAATTGTGGAATTATGATTGGAAGTTCTGTTGAAGAAAGAGAAATGACAGAAATATATATAGAGGAAAAGTGGGGGTGTGTGAACCCCCTATTGGAAACAAAGAATTCAATGAAACAGTTAAAACAAAGTCTAGGGGTAAAATGGTAAATGTATGTGCAAATATTTGTTTATGAATTTTTGACTTTTCTAACTTGACAAAACAAAAGTTGGGTAAAGCTCCTTACTTCCAATTTCTCGAAACAATGTGTCTTTAATTTTCGCTTTATCTTTTATAAGGTGATCTATAGCTACACATGCATCTAAAACAAATTTTACATGATAAATTTAACTATTTTATCTCTTAAATTTTTCGATCAAACTATACCAAATAAAATTGAAAGGGATGGATTAAAATTGTCATTTACTTCTTAATTTAGTATGTGTTTTTGGTATAGATAATTTGTTTTTTTAACTTTTCAGCGTTTTGATATTGATTAGTCAAAAAATCAAAGTATATTTTCTATAAAAAGAAAAATGCTTATAATGAGAAAAATGATTTTTCTAGTAGAACCAGAGCAAACAAGCTCATAAATAATATTCCATATTAATTATTTTCTTCCCCATCCATTAATACGCTTCACTCCATAGCTAATTTCATATTTTCACTAAACAAAAACTCACTTAAAAATTTACATGAGAGTGGTAAATATTTGTGGTAAAATATATTTTGGTGCATGAAGACAAAAGATAGGAGGAGTTTAGGAAAACAAAAGGAGAAGATGAATGGAGGGGGGAATTCCAAGTAAAGTTTAATGACTGGTTACATGGCTGCATGTACCACGGATGCTACTTCTATTACCGGCAACCCATGCATTATATTGCTGCATCTTCAAGCCTCTTCTATAAATTATACGGTCAGATCTCGTTATAACATAATTTTAACATCTTATTATATAATATTTTGTTATTTCAATCTATATAAGTTAGTTTTATTTTTTGCAGAGTTTTTTTTTGAAATTTTGGTCTTGTGGCTAAATATATAAATGTATCATTCTTTTTTAAATTGACTAATAAAAAATGTAAATCATATGAATTGGAACAGAGAAGGATTAAAAATGCTCCTAAACTATAAGATTTGGCATAATATATTTTGTTCTTCTTTTACCTTTCAGGCCAAAAATATCTTTGACATTAACTTTTTGATTCAGAAATATCTTACTAGTGTTGGCTGTTAGAAATAAGGGATTTCTTTTGCCTGAAAGTTAATGTTGGGGTATTTTTTACCTAAAAGGTAAATAAAGGGTAATATTATACCGAATTTCATAATTTAAAGATATTTTAGGCTTTTTTCTAAATATTTTATTAGAGTAATTAAATAATTTTCAAATAAAAGATATTGTTATAGAAAAGTTTGAATGTTTTTGTTCATTTTCTAGTGGTTAATTTCTTTATATTATACTCTATATATAAAGTAAACGGAGAAAAAAAAAAGAAACAAAAAAATTGCTTTAGTTTGAAGAGTAATATATCTTCTCCGCCGACACCCTTCGTAACAAATCTTCCAAGATTTTTTGCAACTTAAAATATAATCCACTTAAAATATTGTATTTTTATCATTTCACATAGTTAATGCGGAGGAAATCAGGGGGGGAAATACTCAAGTAAATTTTAATACAATAAATTCATTGATTTTAAATAAAATATCATGTCGAATTGTGATCTCTTAATCATTAGACAATTTTCTTATTGATAAATTTGTTGGATGCGTAAATAAAATTTAATATTGATAATATATATAATTAAAAAGATCGAAAAACTATATATAAAATATATTATCTCTTAATGGGGTAGTTTTTTTTATAAAAAAATCATGCGCACATAATACAAACGAACAATATCACACTAAGTTAAAAGTATCTTTAAGTTGATTTAATCAATATCAAAGTCCCAAGTTCAACGAAACGAGTATGATGAAGTGTAGATGATGGTGTGAAGCTCGGTTTACTTTCCTTTACAAGCTTAGAGATGCACATACAAAAGAGGCTAGTTGCAAGCAGTTGCCATAAATGCTTAGATGATATAGATATAGCACACAGTGAATCTCAAAAATTGACATAGTAGTTCGTGATAATGAGCCACGAAAAATTTAGTTCAAAGGAGAGATTGTTGGGCAAGTGAACAAAGTATCAATTGCTAAAAAGGTTAGAAAAACTACATATATGTATATAGATTCTCTTAATGATGTGAGATTTTTTTTTAAAAAACGATGTAAATTTCACTCAAAACAAATAATATCACACTATATTTAAAAAAAAATTGGATTGATTAACCTGACTTTTATCAAATTTTAAATCCACATCAGAACTTTTATTTTTTCCTCATAGCACTAAATATTTACCTACTTACTTTTCCCTTTTCATACAACTTTATGTACAATCATAATGTGATAATGGTACGATAGACGTACTAACCACATAACTTTAGGCAGATATTTTGGAAGAAGCAAGATGCAATTATTATAATTAATTAATTTATACATTTTGTACTCTTGTTTTCGTACACTTAAATATCTCAGCTGAGAAACATACTATTCTTAACAAAGATTGCAAATAAAAAAAAGAAGATTTTCTAATCTTTTATTTTAATCTTTTAATAATAATGAGTACTAATTAAACACTCACCTTGAAATTTGAGAAGGTAAGCATTGTTTTCAAAGCTTGCACTTGAGGTTGCTTTATTTAAGCTAGGGTTGACATTGCAATCTATCCAAGGAAATGATAATTCAAAAGCTAAAGAAAAAGAATTAATGTGCCCTTTACACTATCACAACCATTTAAATTTGTCATTAATTTAATTTAGACATTCGAATTAAGATTTATTTCAATTGATAGTACTACTATATATGATAAAATATTTCTATATATTAAATACTTTCAATTTTTTTTTAAGTAGTGTAATTTCTCAAATGTCTGTTATGTCGATAAGTTGTAACTACATAAAATATGTCACATTTTTTATTATGCACATCATTGAAACACAAACCTCAATATTTTCTGCGTTTCGAGGCTAGGGCATGTAATTAACAAAAATAGCATAGGTTAAGTAGTTAACTTATCTATTTAAGAAACATTTCATAACATGCACAAAAAAAATCAATATTTGAACTAAAAATATCTAATAAAAATATTTTATTATATGTTTGAATATTCAATTATATACCTTAATTTACATATTCGTAAATTTACTTATCAAGTGATGGCTATCGAGATATTCTGTCTTTCGCTATTTGTTGTTTCTTTTGTTACACAAAGCCATTAATAATTAATTCTACTAACTTGCATAGGCAAGTAACCTAGAGATACACATAATTTTTATGTTTGAAAGGAAGGACACAATTACAAGCTATCTATGTCAAAAGTCATTTTAAATGTTTAATTATTTTTGTTGATTGGTCATCATCTTTCTATATTTAATTATAATATTATTCTCTACATAAAGGTGTGTTATTTCTAGCTGTTTCAATTGAAAAAATAATAATTGAGTTAGTTACAGTACTCTTCAAATTTTGGAACAAGAATATTGTATATGTAATACTTTCCCTTTAAGGGTCTTAGTTTTTATGCTCACGTTATTGAAAATACACACCAAAATTGAGGATTAGTTATAATCCAAATTATCAACAAGTTAGGACATTATGGTTAGACTTTGGTAAATTATAGATATGTATAGTTTAATCAATTAATTTATCAGTATGATTGAAATATACATTATATATATTATCAGTGTATATGTTGTGGATAGATATGGATATTATATTTAATATAAATATTCACAATCTATATATTTTGTAAATTAGTTCGCCGAAGTATTTGATATTGTAATTATCCCTTAGAATTTTGCATATAAAATTGAGGAATTTGACCACCATAATTTAAAGAAGAATTTGTAATTCTAAAACTTGAGTTAGCATAACGTAAGGGAAAGATATAACTGAGGCAAGTCAAAATGACGGCATAATTAGGTGTTAACCACTTTGTCTAATGGACTAATGCATCATTAGTAATTAAAGTTAGTAAACTGCCCTTCTTTATTGTCTTTCTTTTTATTTATTAATTATTAATAATAATTTTGTTTTGCCTAAGGACATTTTTTTAAATAAAAATAAAAAATTGAACCTTTTTCTCGATTTATGATTGTTATTTTTTTGGAAGAGTCATGTTAATCTTCTTTGTATCGTTCCAAATTTATCAAATGTCTCCGAAGGGACACTACCAAAGAATCACTATTTTACTTGAATATGAGAAAAGAAAATATAATAGTGTTTTCATAAGGAAAAAATTGAAAACTTTTTTGGTATTTCAATAAGAATTTGTTTCTCATCATGAGTTTTTTCATTGAGCTGGTGCGATAAAAATGAATAGAAAAAAGTCATATTTTATAACATAACATTATCATTAATTCATAGTGAATTTTTTTTTATTTCTAGTAATGGAACGACTATTGTATCAAAAGCTCTCAAAAGAGATGTAACTGGAACTACATCATTTAGACTGGTTCCATTTTGTATGAATAAACTTTCTAATTAAGTAAATAAAATCCTTCTGTTTCCAAAGAAAAAGAAAAATAAACAAATGTGAAGGAACAATTAAAAAAGTACATTTGGTTTGCCAGAAATTCTGAATTTTGGTCACGTAAACTTAGGACTGGTTATTGGTTCTTGATTAGTATAATGTTGGAGAATTCAGGGACATGACTCCTACAAAACTAACAATGAGAAAAAAAAGAAAAAGAAAAAAAGGAGGTATTAGATTTTAAAATCCAAACATTTAATAATTGCCTAAAAAAAAAGTAAACAATAAGCTGTTGTTAATTTTATTTTGTAACAAAATATTTTCTTTAAAAAAATAGATAATAATACTGTATATATACATGCTATATAGCGACATATTAGCCACGAGTAGCCATATTACAGT